ATTCGTCGGAATTCCGCCTATTTTGGTCGACTCATTAAATAGACGCAGTCCAACGGTTTTTATGGTTAAATTAGTGCATGAATCATCGTTTCGGTAAATTAGCGAAATCTTCCACCATCGACGTATGTTACACTTTTTGATGCTTGCCCTCGCTTATCGTGGCTGCGATGACTTCATTACCATTTAAAACTCTTCCCAGCGATAGGGAGATCTGCCAAGAGAATCGTCTTATTTCTGTCTCACAGTCTCGTCTACTTTTCTCTAGCATTATTCCTTCCGATTCAATCTGGAGCTAAAACTGTTCCATGGTTAAAAAAAAACGTGGTCGTCGGATTTGCAGAGGGTTATGGCACTTCCCATTGCAGGAACACAGCGATAGTGACGAATTTTATGCACGGTCAAACGAGCTTCCGCGGTAAGCTTTTACGGTCGATTTATGGATGTTCCCTGCGTGGTCAGGTGGCAAAGTCATTTCTTAATGCGTCGCCACTGAGATTCCGTTCCGACGAATCTGTCCGCCGCGATATGGCAGGGAAACAAAAAGTCTTGTACACGGAATGCAATCCTCATTTTGCGGTTCCACGAAGCCTATCTGCTATTTATCATCCCTTCGGCTTTTATTTTATTTTATTTGTTATTAATGTACGGACTTGTAAAACCCATTGGTATATAGGGAAAATTATATGAAACTACAATAATATATATAAAATGTAAGAAATAAATTAATCAGAGGGAATCATCTATTTGTAATCGATTTTTTACGAGAACAAATATTATCCTCATAATCAGAGAAATCATAACAGGGGATTTTAATCCTTTCTGCTTTGTGTCATGTAGTGAAACATTATTAAATAGCCTGCAGTAGTTTATCTTATAATTGTCTCTCAGGCTATTAATAATTAATGTTATGATCAAAAGAGCTTTCCTTCTGATTTCCAGTGTGTTTAATTTAGATTCGGTGAGAGAAGAATCGTAATTGTGATAAGCCAAGGGAATGGGGGTACTCTTACGTTATACGCAAAGAGCAGTAAGAATTGATGTTGTTATTACATTACGAATGATCTCCTTACTCAAACGACGTTTCGCAAGGAGTACAACTGTGTTGCATCGATTCTGACAGACAATCCTGGAATGTACGTATATAGGACATTCTAAATCTGTTCGATATATAATTCTAAATTGTTTAACGCGTTGCACTCCAATTCCGAGGAGTAGAATGGATTTGTCAGAGCATGACAGGTGAATTGTCGTTTCTCGTATTCCACGCCTTCGTCCGCGTTACCATTATTAGAATACCTGATAGATCTCCCGCGGGGGTGTTCGCGTTTGTTCTGTAGCAGTTATAAAATTGTTGCGTTAGCGTATCAAACGTCGATAACTCCGCGCGTTTGAATTACCGTTAGACGTTCGGAAAACTCGTCTCCAATGATCTCATTAGTCGATTACGTCTCCTCGTCGAAAGGTAGGTCATGCTGTGAGACGAATAACTGCTGACTGCGAGCATCGTCTGAAAATATATCTACGAGAAAAATCCGGGCAACGTTTGTACGTTCGATGATTAATGGAGGAAATGATTATTCATTTATCTGACCCGAGCCAAGTTCTTTGTCTTCAGAAATTCTCGCTCGCTCATCTTGTAACGACATCCAACCGTTGGCTTGTTCTACGAATCTGAATCGCTCGATGAAAATCGTTCCCTCGTAACAGGCGAATTATTTAATCGTTCGATTTATCCCTTGTCGATTTAATAACGCGCGATCGGTGCAGAGGTTCGCGGGCAGAAACCGCGAACGGAGACGGGGCTGCACGTGGAATTGCTCAATTACCGGACGCGGTAATTCCACTACACGAGGCAGAGGTAAATCGGCGATGGAACGTGGCGGGTTTACCTTTGTAAATTGGCACAAAAAGGCCGAACCGCGATCCGACGACAGCCGACTCACGATTTCCTTTTTCTCTCCCAAGTAAGGGCAGAGAACGACTACCGTAGATTAAGGTGTTTCTCCCGCGGTGAATCAGTGCTACAACATACGTACGTCTCCATTTTTCTCTTTTTTAACCAGACCCTTTTAATTGGAGCTACCGACGGATCTCGAAATTCCTTCGCTTCTTCTCGTTCCATCGACTCGTCGCGAATTGATTGATCTTCTCCTAATAGATCACGACGTTGATTTTGTTTTTTAAAAAAAATGAATCAGGGTAAGAAAACAAAAACGCTTTACGATTTGTAGCAACACGTGGCCGGCTCGTTTGGAATCACAGCAGAGGCGTTATTTCACGATGGGTAACAGCTGTGTGACTCCGATTAATGCATCTGGCGGCGATTCGGCCGTCCAGGGATCCTCTGGTTACCGCGGGCAGACCTTTTGGTCGACGAACCGTGCCGGTAGCTCATCTCCGAAATTCGTTCTCATCAATCAACGCCTTGAAAACGCGAATTCCTGTCTTCCTAACGACTCTCCCCCCTTCCCTGTTCGTGGAACCACGTTCAATCTATTTTCTCGTTACTCGATGATGATTCAACTTTCGTAACACACGTCGTACGGGTTATGGTTTTTTTTCTTTATCGTTCTCGCGATTATCCGTGAAGGGTATTAAGGGAAAAACTCGGTTTCGTATAGATGGTTTGACCCAATTCGCGTAACCGTGGAACTATCGCTCTCGTCGAGATAACTGCAAGGATCGCAGGTTCAAAGCGGAATTCATTATCGTGCGTCTACGCTTCTTATCGCGACTGCGAGATGATGGTAAATGAAAAATACGGGAGACGATTTATTAGTACGTAGACGCATCCTTTTAGCGATTCTTTTTTCGGACGGCCAGGTGTCCGCGAGAGGTCGGAGAACGTATCCACCGTTTATTAACACTGCGGGTCGATGACTCAGGTTCCTCCGTATCGATTTCCAGTAATAAAGAGGAGTCTGGCAAGGTTCAAGACTGATTTTTTTTCAGAAAAACGAGTCTTTCTGTTATACCGGGTGTTTCATGTAAACGAGGCCACCTAAATATCTGTTCTACTTTTATGTTACGAAAAAGCTTCATGACATAAATGATTTCGAATGAGGAATATTCTGTAACATAAATTATTTTGGTTGGCTCATTTCTTCTGATCTTCTCGAGTTCATCGGCACTTTTTATATAAAAAATGTGGCTTGTTTTCTATTGAATTATGTAGTTGATGAAAAAATACGTTCGATACATATAAATTCAGTAAAACCGAATTCCGTATATTGACGTATTGAAGTATTGCAATTTGATAAGATGATCCTTGATTTGTTTGCTATCAGTGAAACCCTGCTATCATGAACTCCATTAATCACAATTGTTATCAACTGCAAAATAAAGTTAGACTCGTTTGAAGACTATGCATTTAAGATGATCGGGCTGGTCAGTCTCTCGTTGGAGCGTACCTACGTCAGATCGTTGAATTTTGACGCGGTAAAAGCGGTTTGCGGTCGGCTGTCTGCATTGCCAAGGTCGATCTAATCTCGGCCCCATAGGTGAGAGGAGCTTGCGTCAAATCTTGTCTCGACGAGCCACTTGGACGTTAATAAAGCCGGCGCGGTGGAAAGTGCAACGAATTCAAAATAGTTCTCGGAAACGAGTTCTCAAGGGTCGGGGCGCCATCGATCGCGGGGGTCGAACCGAAATAGAGGTGTCTGCCGCTACGACTGGCTATTGCCAAGGCCGAGACGATGCTCCGAGGCGAATCGTCGACGATCTTCTGCATCGATGCGCCTCGATCGAGTCGCTCGCGTGGAACGAATATCGTTAAACGCTCTGTCCCGTTCGAGCCCCGAGTGCAACAAGAAACACCTTTTGTTACGTTCAGAGATCTCCTTGCCTTTTATAGACTTTATAGAGAGTCTCGAAGCTGCACTCGTGCGATATTAACAGGTTCAGTTTCAAGTAGTTTCAGTCGATTACCTGTATAATATCAGTCAAGTGGAAAGTTAATATTAGCTTCTTAAAAGAAATCACGATCAATCTAGTATTTCTCTCTCTCTCTCTCTCTTTCACTTTCTCTTTCTCTCTCGTTGCTATGTCCGATCCGAGAAGGAGGAAAAAATAAAACGGCGCGTGATACTTGGAGCCGGTGGTGGCGTGAACGGAGAACACGATCCAGAAGGGAGTGCATCGATAAGGATTCCCTCGTGCGCGATCGTGCCCGGCAAAATCGAGCCACGACGATCTTAATCTTCGCCGACAAGGTCGATACCGAGGAACCCTAGCAGGGTTTATGACTTCCAGTTCCGTCGATGGCATCGAACGAGAACTGTTCGATACAAAAGAAACCCTTGAATCGGTCCAATACGAGACGTCGCGAATTTCTACGGAACGGCTCGTTATAAGATACATCGACGACTATGCGCGATTGACTGCACGAAGCACTTGACGATATTTTAATAGCTTCGCCGTGTAACGAGCGGCGTAAATGCAAATATGTTCCATCGTTTGAGAACAAGAATTCCTTGTCCGTACCTCATTTATCTTTTGCTAATAATCATTGTTTAATATGTGTCAATGTTCCTACCCAAGGACTGTCGTTATTATTGCTTTACGATCTAACTGACAAATTAGAATGATCAATCTTATCGTGGATAATTCCTCGTATTATAATTTCCTTGTTTTCTATACATTTTTCCCGATCATCGCAAAATCATGATCTGTGTTTGTACAGTCAGTAGACTTGTTATAATCGAGAATATTCATATCTGGTAAAATAATCTGAAATAGCTTTTAATTTTTAAAATATAATATTTAAAAAGTTAATATTTATTTAAAAAAATAAAATTATTCACTTTCTTATCGTCTACTACATTAAATGTGAGTCGCGCGGGTAGCAGATTCTGATAGAATTAGGAGCAATCACGAACCTTTTTGGAATGAACGTAATTGAATGACGAGTGATTAAAAAAAAGCGGTTCTAGCCATCGCTAATTGGGAGACGAGCTTATCTTTTCGGTTTCGGCACAGATGGATAAAGATCGTGAACTAACCGTATTAGTGACGTCCGCCTGCATGTTTCCCGTTTCCTCCTCGACTCCAGCCTTGATGAGATCCTCCTCCTTCTCGTTGTCCGGCGCGTTCAGGTACTCGTCGTAATCCTGCTCGAGACTCTTCGTCTTCGGCTGGGCGTCGTCGATCCTCGCGTCGGCCTTTTTCTCGACGCTCCTCGTCGCCTGGCTAATGTTTCGCGCCGATTTACGCTCGACCAGCGAACTCGACAGCTTGCCGGCTAAATTCTCGCCCAGCTTACTCGCAGGGCGATGCTCACTCTTAGCGTCGTGAACCAACGGCCTTGTCAGGTTCCTCGGTTCGTATTTGAAACTCCCGAGGGCGTCGCGCTTCAGATGTCTGTCCGCCTCGATGTTCCTGTAGTCCCTCTTGCCCTGGCTAGGCTTAGCCGTCGCTGCTGGCTCGTTGGCCGTCAATCTTCTGATAATGTCATCGTAAGTCTTTAAAGGAGGCTTCTTCCTCTCCTTATAGAAATCGTTGTCAAACTCCTCGTCGTCTTGGTCCTCGTTCCAAAATTCATCGTCGTCGTTATCAGCCTCGTCGAGCTCGCCTGAAGTGTATTCGTAATCCTCGAACTCCTCGGTTCTTCTTCTCTCGTTCCTCGAGTGGAATCTGGAATCAGTGAGATTCGATCTTCCTCTCCAATCGTCGCGATGCCTTTTTCTTCCGTCCAGACGCCAGTCGTGTCTATAGGCGCCCGGCTTGTGTTTCCTCCCATTGCTCCACCGGGTTTTCTCGTAATCGAACTCGTCCTCCTCCTCTTCGTAGTCCGGATCGCGATTTCTCGAATGGGCTGGCCTGCGGTGGGTCTTGTCGGACATCCTCGGCCTGTAGCCTTGCTCGTACCGCGGAGAACCTCTGCGTACCTGAGTCTCGAACCATCCGCGATAGCCTCGGTGGTGCCTGGGCGGGTAACGGGGGTCGAACATCCGGTCCCGTGGATAGGATCTCGCGTAATAAGAGCGAGCATCGTAATCATCTTCCTCCTCGTCGTCCTCGCGATCGGCTCCCAACGAGTCGTCCTCGTACTCGACTTCCTGCGACCAGCCAGCTCGTCTGTCGGTCAGCTCGTGACGGTTCCTCCGCCCGTTCGGCTCGTGTCGATGTCTGTGCCTGTGTCTAGCGTCGGTCGCGGTGTCCGCTTCGTGTGGATGGTACCTGGCCTCGGCCGCGAACAGCCCGTAAGCCATCAGAAGGATCAACAGCACCAACAGCCTCCCGTCGCGCGTCATTTCGGAGTCCCTCGGAACAAGCCAGCTTACATTATCACGTCGGGTGACTCCCTTAATCACGCCGCGAGCGGTTCACCAATGCATCGCGATCGACCCGCAGCACGGCTCGTCGATCGGGACATCAATGACGCGATGGAGATTGCCTGGATTGTCGAAGGTGCTTATCAGAGCCCGATGAGACGACGTAACGGTGACGGGTACACCGTTGATCCACGTGCGCCCGATCCAGTAACCACGAATAATCGAAACGCAGTCCGAGGAACGGCCGCTTCTGGCTAAGTTCCAGTTCACTCTATCCCAGAAAAATGTCCTCGCAACGGGAGTTCCTATTCTCGCGCGCAACGATTCCACTCACGTCTCGCGCCTTCTTGCTCCGGACACCGTCTTGCCTCTGCTCTCGCGTCCATCGTCCACTCCTTCTGTCACACGTTTACAAAAAATTTTATATCACCTCGATAGTTATTTCTGATTAAAATGTACAATGAATTTCGACCGATCGCAGTGAATAAGTCCAGTGAAAAGAGTTTAGTTTTCTCGTTGCCACTTTTTCATACCACGCGCGCTACCGGCACAAAATTCTCGAGTTCAGAACGCGATTCCACCGAATCGTATCGCGGACCGAATGTCGCGGGCGACTGAGGCCAGGAGCCGGCCAGCCTCTCCGGCCTGTTGGCTGAGAGATCGCGGAACGCAGCGCGCATGCGTGCGAGCGATATTCGTCTCTCCCTCTCCCGCCCTCTCCGGCACCCTCGGCTTTTTCTGTGGCCCCTTCGCCCCCGACCTGTGTGCCACCGCAACCATGCACACGCTCCTTCACGGACTCCCGATGGACGTGATACGTCTTCGATCCGATCGATTATGCACCGACAATTCAATCTTATTTGGACCAGTTCGCACGTTCCGCGAACAGTGATGAATGATGCTGAGGAAACTACGGTTCCTCTTATGGAATTCTTGTGTTAAGCAAATAGCTGTCGAGAAAGATATATCGCGAAAACTCTTGCTTTCCTTCGAGGAACTGGAAGACACTGTGAGTACTAAGGTAAATGTTTCAATTTCTCAATAGTTTTCTACCATTTTAAGATAGTGTATAAATTTCCATTGGCTGGCTTATATATAATAAAATTATAGAAAAATAACCCAGTGAATAGAAATTTATATATGTTATCTTTCAATTATAGAAAAATAAGGCAGTGAGTAGAAATTGGAACGTTTACTTTAGTACTCACAGTGTCTTTCAATTCCACGAAGATATATTTTAAAATAACATAAAATTATAAAGAAGAAGTCAGTGAATAAAAGTTTATATATTATCTTAAAATATTTTTGTATAATTTTACGATAATACATAAAATTATAGGATAATAGTGAGTAGAAATTGTGAACAGAGATTAGGACACTTAGTTTATTATCAGGAATACTGTCGAACGTCTGAGTGTATCACAAAACATTTCTTTATCAACCGGTGGCGGCGGTACATGTGTTTACGTCGGGTCTGGTGCGCCTTTCGATTTTACGATCATCAGAAGCGATCGATACCGGACGCTCTTTTCGCCGGCACCGGCTCCCATTCACTTTCGCGTCGCCATTCAGAGATACGGAGACGCGGTGCCACGAAATCCGGCCGAGGGGGCGAGAACGAGAGGTCGATAGGATCGCCGTTGCCTTTACAACCGGTACAACGAGGACTGGTTTTTCGTCGCGTACGGAGGACGCCGAGCGTTTTTTGTCGCCCTTTTAAACCTGCAGCCCGCGATAAATAAACACGGTAGCCCGTCGCGGACAGCTTCCGCTCCGATCCGAACATCGATAAACCCGACGGCGACCTATCGCGAGGTTCGATCACCGATTCGCGTCATTCACTCGGGAGATGGGGAAAAGAAAGCTGGTATTCGCGTTCATTGTGTCTACTTTTTCTAAAGAGTTTCGCATGTGCCAGTTGCATAAGATAATCCGCACTTTTTATTCGCCATTTTAATAATGATAATAATGAGTAACCCTTCGTAATCGTCGACAATCTTTCACAATTGGTGTCTAGCAAATTATGAAGATTTTATATGATCTCATAGATGAAACGGTAACCGCATAAAGTACATACCGTCATTAGCGTGTCATTAATTCGCGGTACGTCGACGCAGATCTATCCACGGGCCGCTTAATCGTTTCACTTTTCCCGGGCTCGCATTACTGATAATTCGCGGCCATTCGTCAGAATCACGGACGCGTCCCCGCGAAAATGACGATTAAATTGCAATCCCGGTCGGGGAATTCGAGCGGCCGGTGCGGAACGCGCGCAATCAGCTCGGGTCCCAGGTGAGAGGGAACCCAGACGAACAAATGACGCTCCGACTCCGTGTCTGTAAAAGACACTCCTGTGGAATGCGAAGTTTCTACGTGGGGCGCTTGAAAAATCCCGGCTCTTCTTTCAATGAATTTAAGCGAAAGTTTACTCGTTCATTCGCGTAAATTAGCACCGATTTAATTATAAAATTTGGGACAGTAGTACGAAATTCTCGTTAGCTTATAAATAGATTTATAGAAAAATTTCGTATGCAAAAATATACATGAGTGCATATCATTTTTAAATATTAAGGAAATATCCATTTATATCCTACTTTTTATAATTATACCTCAATAATTTTATTTTACTTAAAAATCTGTAGTCTATTTTACCCAAAATGATAAAGAATTTTAATAATACTACGAAATTCTCGATAACTTATAAATAGACACTTATAGAAAAATTTGGTAAGGACGTATCAATTTTTACTTCATGTTTTGGGCTAAACAATTTTATTTTATATCAAAAACTGCAGTCTACGAATTTCATAAAAAATGATTTAAATTTACAATTCTCGTGCGGCGATTGTTGGTATCGAAGGGGAGCACCGAAAGTGCTCGCGAACCAACCCCAAGTATTCTATTCTTGATGCCGAATCGCGACAAAAGACACGCGCCGGCTTGGAGAACAGCCCGCTTCCGTGGAATTCCATCAAGATTTTCGTGGGCACGAAGCGAAATTAGTCACGCGGATTTAGCCACGGCTCTTGTATTGTACCGGAGCGCGTTGCTGCTCCGAATGCATCGATTTGTCCTACCCGTGGCGTGCAACCGACTTTCGAGTCACGTATCTGGTTCTTGACATCGATGCCTGCGTTAACAAGCATCAAGGAATTCGGTTGTTCCGAACAGAGCAATTCACGCAAGTCGCCATTTGTATTAATTTATTAGCAGGATGTCTTGGAACAGAGAAATTTAATTAACTGGTGAACAAAAAATTTGTCTGATTCGATGATGTTAGTTTATTCGAGCCAAGGAGATAATACCTTTTTAATGGGATTTTTTTCGATCACATTTTATCTTTTCCTTACATTACTAAACTTTGAAATATTCACAGAATTTGATTATTATTGATCGAGAATAGAATACGACGAATTCGTGGACCTACGAGGAAATCAGACCGCTTTTGCCGAGGTTCACGAGGTTATCTCATTAGATTAGACTTGTGGGACGCATATGAATCAGTTCGCACTGTTTCTGTCAATTTAAATCGTGACAAATTGCGTAATTCGATTTCACGCGTTGGAACAAGCCCGCCGAAGTGAGCTCGCGTGTGATGAATCAGATCCTTACTGAGCGCGAGCGTAATGAATCTCGTTTCACACCTGCGAGGCTCGAGTACAAAGAAGAGTCTGATAACCGGAATACCTTCCTCTGTCTCTGAAGGTCACTAGCGTTGCGTGACCCCTGAACTTCCAATGCCACCCTGTCAATGGCACCCACGACTCTCTTTTTCTTTCTCTCACAGCGTCACCTTGGCACCGCGGGAATCTCCTCGAGTGGAATTTAATTCAGAGAGACAATGAAATTCCTTTCTACCATTATTGCCTCGTGAAAGAAAAATTACTCGCTCGTGCATGAAATCAATTCAATCAGATTTCTCTGATATTCAGTTTCTCCTTTTGCTAATTGCATGGAGATAAATATGAACTGGAAATGTAGCGTTTAATCAATTTCTTTTATAATAATGGTAAGATACTGTTTATGCGATTCTTAGTGTGTCAAACTACCGGAGGCGCGAATCGGTAATAATTAAAAGGTAAATAGAAAAGATTAAACGAGGGGCTTCACTTTATGACTTGCATCGTTCGTGTCAAACGGTTGCGCAAACAACGATCCGAGCGGAATGTTCGGTCGGTAACGGAGCCCATCCGTTTGGCTAGCCTTCGATTCGATAATTAAGAATCCTGGCCGATTCGTGTGTTTTTCTTTATTCCATCTCACCTTCAATAAGATTTCTCTTCGTCGAATGACTTTTTCTTTGTCCACAATAAATTTTATCGACCGACGATTTCGTTGCATGAACTTTCAATTTCCACTCGATTCGTGACGCGTTTCACGGCGCATGAGCTACCATTAATTCACGAGATTAGAACTGGACCACCCGTGACAAAGGGTTGAAGCCTGAAAAATTGCCTCCGCTCCGGTCACGTAGAAACCGTTCGTCATTTTTGACAGAGGCATTAATTCTTTTTAATTACGCCCGTAAATTTCGTCCTGTATTCTATATAATCAATATAGTCTGTGTATAAACGTAACACTATCTCATTTATGCGAAAGAATTATTGAGCAAAGTGTCGAAATAACGAAACGGTGGTTCGATAAATTCTGCAGATGATTTTATTTTTCTTTATCAAACGCGGTGCGCCGGCACCGATATTACGCATTCACAATCCTTTGACTTACAGTTATATAGGTTACAGCTTACGTAGAGTCTAATACCGTTTGTTTCTCTGCTTCCTCGATTCTGCGCCTATGTTTGAGATATGTTAAAGGCAGGTACAGGAGATAGTCGGTGTACACTAAAAGAGTAGTACGATATAACACACTAGAGGAGCGAGTCTCGCGGCATCGTATAAAAAAAAAGATATCCGGAGCGAGCGCGTCTCGAGGGGAGGAGGAAGGTGTGTGTGTGTGTGTGTGTGGGATTGAGTGGGTGCGGAAACGATCATCCATAATGGAATCTCTTCTTGTTTCAATTACATAGGTGCTCGACATTAACAGTGTCCGAAAGAATTTCGTCGAATTTTTTGCTAAATGACAATTTATTCGGGGCATTACCAGCGATTGGCGTTGCGTTTGTTAAATTCTATTAAAATCGGTATGTTATATCTTACTCTATACTTCGAGGACATTTATCTCGGAGAGACCGAGCGTCCCCGTACGATGATAGAAATCTACAAAAGTCCGTATGGACATCGACATCCAAAGAAACGAAATCAACTGTCTTTGGGTAATCAGATAATAAACGAATAGAAACGTAGAACATTGAGTCGTGACGAAGCACGGGTCGAATATCGGGAATCGTACGTCCTAAAGAAAGCTGCCTTAATGTATTTAGAAAAAACTTAGTTTGCGAATAAGCTTATACGCTAAAAAGTACATGTTCGCGACCGAGATCTAGCGGAGAACGATCAATCGAGAAATCAGTTCGATCGCGGTTATCAAGGATCGTTTTGATTAGCTTTTTCAAGAACGCCGACGTTCGCTTTCCGATCGCGCGTGTTAAAGCCCGTCGGCCCTCGCTTCCGTTCGATCGAAGAGATTTTCGACGACGGAAGGGGAGGCGCCGCTACCCTTCCATACCGGAAATCCCTCGACACGCACGCGTAACGCAACGAAGAAGCGACCTGGTTTTAAACTGTTCACAAGTAGCCGGACAGGAGGATCAGAAGGGACGTCGCTAGCATGAACGAGGCTGCGTTTACGCTCGCCGCGCTGGACAGCGTCAGGTTCTGCCGCAGATCATCCGGTACGTCAACGTACACCTTGGCGACGCCGACCTCTTTGATCAGCGTCGACAGCTTGCCGACGTCGACCTTGTCGCCCTCGCTGGACCACACGGTCAAGGTCACGTTGGCCGTGTTCAATCCTGGAGTCTCCATCAGCATCTTGATCTGAGCGACGCTGTTCGCCGCTAGTCCAGCTCTTACCGGATAAGTTATCGGCTGCGTCACTTGTTGTTCCTTCAACACCTTCACCATTTCCTTGATCTGTTCGTCCGTATACCCACCTTCGGTGACGTTGTCCTTACTACCGTATCTGAAACAGCGCTCGATTAGGTTTCTGCAGTCGTTGAAGAAAAAGCGCGGCACAAAGTAGCACGCATATAAGTCAATTATAAAAATCCAATGTCAATTAGATAAAATTTACCTGGTGGTCCAGCCGACGGACAATGTACAATTTTTAAACGATTTGGTTTGAGTTAAGAATTCCTTCGCGTCGACCGGAGTGGTATTAGCGTTCACCGGTCCGGGGAGGATGTCCGCGTTGATGAATAAGGGGAACTTCAGCTGAAAACGGAGAAACTGGTTGAAACGAAGGGGTATCGATGCGATAGAGGAAGGCTAGGCGATCGCGTGGCCATCGGTAGCTAAAATAACCACGGGTCCTAGAATATCCCGATCGGCGGTGAAACGAAGCGCGAAGGGCTGAAGATGCACACGAGTCTCGCTCTATAAATAATCGAATGCACGTACGTCATTTTGAGTCTTGTTCAAGATTTCCTTGCTCGCGTTTAAGGCTTCGAGGGTCTTGAAGTCCAGCTTAACGCCCTTGGTTATGTTCTTCTTATCCTTGACGGTGTTCAGAAAAGCCTCCAGCGACAGATCGCTGGTATTTTTCGGCGGGTGCGCCATTATCGGTATCACGGCTTCCGAGTTGTTCAGCTTGCCCAACACCACGTCGGCCTCTAGCATACTGACGTTGGCTTAAAAACGAAAACCCGAGTTTAGATGTTTTTCTAGTTAAAGAAACGAGGAACGACAGTCGAGAGGCGTGGGCGGAATAATTGGACCGTGGAAGAGAGACGGAAAATCGGCTGGTTTCTGTAGTCGCAGAGCACGTGCAGGAATATCGATCACGTCTAAAGAGGCTGGAGCCACGTCGGATTTCAACTTTCTCGGTCTCATAATGCGACCGTTTCAAATCCGCCTAAGAAGCTAAAATCCTTGAACCTTTCCGGCAGCCTTCCTCCCGCGTTTCGCGTTCCTTCGCGTCGTCTCGTATCCGAGAACAAATTCGGATACGGTCGGCTTCCGGTAGATTCTAGAAGGAGGCGCACGCAGCCACCTTGACACATATTTCCCCGAGCCGAGCGACAATCGCGGATGCTCCGAGTTTCCACGGTTTTCCCTCGAGTGTCGCTCGGTTTGATTGATTAACACATTCAACTTCGCTGCGATTTGACAAGAAACATCTGACGCTTCTAAACTTCCAATAATACTTCTCATATCTACACCCCCGATCAAAAGATTGGAACATATTAAGGTCCCAAAACAAATGACCTTCCGTTGGAAATAAATATTTTATTCATAATAACTTCAATTTATATAAAAGTCAAAATTACGACTAAAAAGTATGCTAATTTACAGTAGCGTCTTTTCGTAGAAGAGTCCTCCTTTTTCTTGATAACTGCTTGACATAATTTAGACATTCTGAAAATTAATTTCTCGACTGTCTCCGTTCAATACTATTCCAGACCTAGAAGTCGGTTTTGAATGTTAGACAGTTTTCTCTAATTCAAAATACCTATGAGGTATCAGACTTCTAAGTTCAACTATAAAACAAATTAAGACAAACGCAATATTTTTAATAACACATCTGCAAATGTGGGAACATTTCCAAACTTTTGAACAGGAGTGTATATTGGCAATTCTGAGGAATAGCATTTTTTCTTCACTTTAAAAACAACATTTATCTTGGACTTGATCTAAGAATCACATCGTCTGAAGCGAGGGTCACTGAATTCCGACGTATTTCATAGTCTTAACGACGGACAGTAGATCTTTAGCGACGTTTGAGGTTGCGCATTCTGCTTCCGTCACGAAGGACGCGATCAATCGCGGGACTTTAGGGATCAAGGCCGCGCGTATCCGGAGACTGACCTTCCGTTACGATAGTTTCATTGTTCGCCACTCATTGGGATTCAGCGGGGGTGGTGGCTGCCGGCCGGATCGTTTCTCAAAAATCTCTTGGCTACGTGATCGCGACACCGGTTATCGTCTTTTTGAATATTAATTAACGCATCCGGCGTTGCGGCAAACCGCGTCCCAAATACAATTTCGGCGAGCCTCTCGCGTGATAAAAATATGTAATCAAACCTCGCGAGTTCTGTCAAATTATTTCATTACACATTTCAATTACGGATTTTTACCGTTGATATAACACACTTGATCAGAGCTCTCGAGTTTTATCAATTTGTTTTCATCGCACACTTCAGTTGTTGATTCCGACCATTGATAATTAAATGTTTGATTAACAGACTGCGGATTTTACGAATTTACGAGGAAATTGAATATAAAAAATATTGCAACGTTTAAAAGATAAAATTCATTTTTATTTTTCAATCCAATACCATAAACACTTCAATTTGCATGAAAATTCGCAGTTTATTCGTTGAACAGTGCTCGACGCTTCAGAAACTTCAGGCAGATAATTATGACCAGTCGTGGTTCGGGTGAAAATGAATATTTCATCGGGGCCCCAGCCCGGCATTCCTTCGGAATCGATTATTCGTGGGGTCGGGGGGCCAGTTATTCGCGCGACAGCTCCTCTAAGGAGTGTTTAATCGATAATTATAGGCGCGACGCTAGCTGAATGCATTCGAAACTCGACCGCGGACCTTTGACACGATTTAAATTCTAGTGTTGCCTGGTAACGAGACGCGGTTCGAGTATCGCCACCGCCGAGGGATGCCACTCGTCGCGGTATTAAAGGCGACCTACCAGAATGCAAACTCCGTTTCAATGCCACGACACTTTATAAAACTCCGATCAAACGAATTATAGTATCAATCCTCGTTTCATTCCCGCTGTCTCCCACATCTATTTTAATTCGTTTAATTATTTTTTATTCGGGTTTGAATTACCTTGCTCAAGCGCCTGGGTGAGCAGCTCCTTGCTGTTGACGGCATGGGCCCATTTGATGTTGGTGAGGTTACCCTGTACGTTGAAGAAGGTGGCTGGATCTATGCTGGACATTGCGACTTCTAAAACAGTTGAACGAATTCTGTCGTTAGTTCGATTTAGTTATGAACAAGTCTGGGTCTTATCAATAATCACACAAAAAGAATGTAAAATATGGGTTGATGCCATTTGATTTCAATTGAAATAGTCAAAGAAACATATTTTTCTCGTTTATTACTAAATTGATGCTAACTCCATAAATTGTAGTAAAAGCAAACAATTGACGTTATCTCGAAACGAGATAATAAATGGATCCAAGGTTTATCACACGTATTCTTTAGTGCCCATATTAACCTTGTGCAAAATATGAAACAATTTTCAATATTTTTGACCGAGGCAACAACTGCCTCGAGCGACTCGACGTTCTGCATTAACGTTCTCGTTGCCCCCCGATGTTTGGCTCCGACATATTCACCAAAGTGGCTCCATAATTGACCGTGCCCTCGCTACCGAAGGGGTAGAAGGATCTGGAGAGTTTTCGGGGAGGGACGACGGAGAATCTCGCCCTACTTCGGTCATTGTGCCACCAGAGATCGATAATCACATTCATTCGTTACCATCGTTACGCTCTTCCCTATTGTATAATAGAAGTTCGCGCTGTCTAGAAATAAGAGAAAGAACCGCGCGATGCTTTCTTGCCTCGGAACTCGGAAATCCACGGTACTGTGAAATTCGAGTATTTTACTTCAACGAATTTCCTGCGCAACGGTTTTGACTGACCCGTTTCCGGTTCAACAAACGGGGCTGGCGAGCCCTGAGGGAGAACCGGTCGCTCTACCCCTTGTTTTGAACACGCGCACACCCGGGACAGGCTCGAGTAAAAATGGTTTCTAGTCAACGCGCGTTATCGGAAAAGTTAAACGCTCTTTTTAATTTAGAAAAATCCTGTTCGCGGCTTTATACCCAAGGATTAAACCGGGTATACATAGATATAACCGTGCGCCGCTTTCAGCGCGTGAAAATCCCCGACACGACAATGGTGTCCGTGTTAAGAAATAGCCGGTATACATATAAAAAAAAAAAAACGGGTATCCTATCGACCGGTCTTTTGTTCGAGTTATAAATAATAGCGGGGCTGAGATGCCACGGTCGCGCGATTACGCGAGTGCAACGAGAGAAGTATAGGAGAAGCGGATTTAAATCCTACTATCTCGGCTTCTGCATCCGTGAGCCCGTTTTCACGGGATCGGCACCGGAGCCAGAGCGCGTATCTCGTTCCCTTTCTCGTCACTTCCGGCCGACTTCTGGTTTCCGAGTCATCGATTCCGTACAGTGCCCTGTTGTGGCCGCGCGAATCGGTCGTCGACCGAACGCGCCAAAGAAGAATGCGCGCGCGGCACCGGTCAGCCGTTTCTTTCTTTATTTTTTTCTTCTAAGAATGGTGTCCGACCGTTCTTTGAACCTCCCGGAATTCTTCGGTCGAAGACTGACCTCGAACGGCTACGCACAAACCGCTCTAATTGGTTGAACAATCGATCGCCTGTCTCCGAGAGGCACCGATCACTTCCTAATTATTCTTGCGCAACTGTTTACACAACTCGACGTAACCCCGTGTGTTTTGGGTAACTAGGAGTCGAATATGATTTGATAAAGAACAGTGGGTGTAGGCAGGGCGAGTTCCCTTGAACCGGGTGGATGCCTGTCTCCAAGAGGCACGAACCACTGGTTCCTAAGAATGTTTTATTCATGCTCGACGTTCCGTTATTTACACGACATTTCTGATATTTGATAACCCGGTATTTTAGGTAATAGGAAGTCGAACGAGGTTTGACAGAGGCTTGGGAATGTTCGTCGATACCTTAAGTCGGACGTTTGATTGAATCGCGTCTGTTACGTAAAACTCTGTGCACAGGTTTCACCGTGTTTAGACAGTATATCATGTTTTCGAAAGTGACTCTTTGCAAATAGACGATGACGTTACTCTAAATTCATATCATGCATTCTCGACGATTCGCGGTACAAATACGCGCAGTTCCGGTGACTCACGCAATTAATCCGATGTACACAATTGATATTACCACGTAATTATTATTGTTTGTTCCGGACAATTATGAATCGTAAAGTGATAATAGAAATTAGAAGCTAGAAACATCTCTCACGTATCTGAATGCCTTTAACGGTAGAAAAACAACAATCAACGATATAAAAGTACAATTGAATTAACGAGGTGATATTTTATTAATTGAATACGATATCAATCGGTTTAGATAAATGCAGTTTACAATTTAAGGATTTT